GAGTCCCCCAGGACGAGCTGGAAGGTGTCGCTGGGGAGAGCGGGGTCTCTCTGCTGCTGCCCCCGCGACCCGATCCTGGACTGATTTACAAATAATATATTAATTTCAAATAATAATAAACCAAATAAACAAAAACAAAAATTCAACTCCTCAAACAGTAACTCATGTACAGTAAATACATATGAAACAATTTCACATTTTTTAACAATTTTGCTTTGATCATTTTTTTAAAGGAGTTAATTGATATTTCATTAGTTTTAAGATATTTAGAGTTGAAAATAAATCACTCCATAATTATGTTGACAACAGGTTATTCTGTTTGAACTGGAATTAGATTTTAAATGTAACTAATGACATAAATTTGTTAGACTAAATTGAATTAGCTTTTAATGCTGTTGTATAACACTACAATATCAATGTGAAGATCTCAAACTAAAAACCAACTTAAATTAAGCATTAATTGAAGTTTGGAGACATTTTAAAATGCTTTTTTCAGAAACGCATCTGATACTTGTGACGATCAGGAGGGGGAGGATAGTGGTGCGCAACTGCTCTTCTTCTGAATAAATGAAACCTATGTAACACAGTTGTTTACACTTAAATTAAAAATATTTGACCAAAGGAAAACCAAAGCAGGACTAGAGAGAGAGATAAATATGATTTATATTTTTATTTCTGTGTCTGTAACAACCCAATGGAGACACGACATTAACAGCAGTAGTTATTTCATTCCTTGGCTAAAATGACAGATTGTTTTTTTTTTCTGGATATCTATTTGCGTTTCCACTGGCCATGAAAATGCGCAAATCAGAATTTCGAAAATAAATTTGCTCAATGGAAACACGTCAATTTGGAAAAAAATAATACGTTTTTCGACAAAAAGTTTTTGCGCTAGGATGAGGTGGTTTTTCGGCCGTATCGAAATTGGTGTTTTTCCAAAACTGCAATGGAAACACTTTTTTCACATTATGGGAATCACATGATCAACAACCGGCTGTTTCTACTGGTGAAAAAGACGATGACGAAGAAGATAACAGGAAGTAGAAGTAGTAGTAATATCACAGAAGTAGTATAAAATAGTAAACTCACCGACTTCAATTTCCCAAAAACATGCTCCGAAGTAGGGACTCGTCTCTGGAAAGCCTCGATAAAAGACGCCGACGTCTCCTCTGATG